TGAGTTCCCTAGTATTATCTTAGCAAATACGCACTAAAATCTTACTTAAAATTAAACTATTTTTTTATACCTCATGACTTACGGGACGACTGTTCAAAATCTTACGGGACGACTACTCAACGTAAACAGATATGAAAAATCAATTAGAGCAATTAGAAATAGGAGTGAAACGATTTTATATGAGTAGTAATAAGTGGAGCAAAGTGAAAGCACATTTAATCTGTTTAGAAAAATAGTAATGAAAGGTGAAAAAACTAACATATTAGAAATTTGAAAACATAAAAGATTAATGTCATTAACTAATGAAGAAAAATGTTCTCCAATGTGGAAAGGTTCCAACAAATCTAATTTACTAACTGAAGAGCGTTTAGGGATAATTTTCGGAGATCGAAAATTAAAATTATGTTTATGTGCTCAATTGTGATTAGCTAACAATATTTTGTTTATTTCCATTTTCTTGTTTATTTATGTTCCTTTATGAGAAGTTTCTACGCTCTTTCAGTCGATATATGTCAAACGATAATGACATGACGAACCGCGTTAAGCTAAAATTCCATGAGATATATGATAAATCATATTAAGCTAAAAATCCGCAAGATTTAAAAGCAGGGATAATTTTTAAGAAGTAAACAATAAATTTATTGTCGGTTGCAAACATTACCTGAAAGCTGATTTTTATGGAGAATTCGAGCAATTTTGTAACTGAAAGAACATTATGACGACCGACAGAACTGTTAAGTTAGGATTATTTTAGGGATTTAGAGATTTATTTTTGTGTTAGGATTAGGGAGAGGAACATTTCTGAAAGGTTTCATTGTTGCCTGTGGCAGAATGTCCTTTCTCAATGGAGACTGGTATCAAAAAGTTAGTTTATTTGAAAGAATGTATTCTGAAAAGCAATTTTTGGGAGCACGATTATACGTAAAAGTAGAAAGGAGATCGTACTTAGTCGGAAAATTGACTTGATTTTGCATGGGGAAGGAAACAAATGTAAATAGATTTACGGTAAACAAATTCGGTTCTAGACCAAGAATTACCATCAATATACGAAAAGGACATAAATCGAATGGGAAATTTCCACTACCTGAAAATGAAATCCGTCTAGTAAATGACGACTATGTTTGCGAGATTGAAACATGCCTATAATCTGGTGAAATATAATGCTTCTAACACTTTGTGTAAATGGGGTTTTTCAGTAATAAATCATGAAGGTTTTACTGAAATATGAGGCCAATTCTACCCATGATGAATTTAATGAAATATGAGGCGTGTATCATAAATGAAAAATATAACGCAGCATGTATAGGAAATACTAAGAATACACTGAAGAATTTGAAATTTTGTTTATAAGTATTTTACAAAGAAAAGGAGTTCTGCTTATACGTCATCTGCTGTTACATCCGTTACATTTTGCTGCTAACACAGGGTAATTTGTTAAAAAAAATAAAGCTCTATTTTGCGGCTACCAATCTTCTAATAAGCCTGAAAGATATTGCAAAAAATACAGGTTGCATAAATTAAATAAATTTATTTTATTCTTATTGTTATAGATTTAACAAATTTGGTTAAGGTATTGTCTTAGAATCAAGCTTGATTTAAAAAAATAAGCATTTACACATTTTTGGATTGATCTTACCAAAATGCTCAGTTTTGATAAATATTACGTTCATTCTTGACGTGCATATGCATAATTGTGAAGCTTTTGCATACAATTAGAAAATTTTGAAACACATTTTAATAGATATTTAAATTGAAAACATGCATCACAAAAGCGAAAACGAATAATATATAGTGGATAATAGTACATAATAGGCAACTAAAAATGTACTCTTGCTATCATAAAGCACATTTCGAGATTAAAAATAATAACAAAAACACTACCATAATGCTGTTTAAGTTTTCTATTAATTATGAAATTGCCCTATTCTCTTAAGTTCATATTTGATGTCATTTTTTCACTTATCCATAAAGTTTGCTTTTTAGTTCTTGATTCCATCTTTGATTTCATTTCTTGCTGAATTTTAGCTTATCATGTCGATGCGGTTTAACATATATTCCCCAAATTTGTTCTCACTCGGCTGCGCCCATTTCTTTCCACATAAAATTGCTTCGCTCCTATGAATAATTATTAAAAAAATCTGTTTGAAACTCTTTGCTAAAATAAGGTTGTTTTTCTGTCCAGTTTTAAAATTTATAGTTCCTTTAGCATAAAATAAAAATAAAAATGTAATTGTCTATAAGCCTTCTCGTTGTGCATCCCCGTAAATTGCCTTTTATCAGATAAATATAAGCAAATTTTACTACAACATTGTCGCCTAAATTCGTTGTCAGCTAAAAGCCTGTTGGTTAAGTTGCCTACTTTAGTTCACTGTAGTTTTTATTTATTGTTACTTTAGTTGTTATTCCCAGCGTTAGAATGACATCACAGTAGCTGATATCACATAGTTAACCGTAACATCTTGGCTAATATGATTCGAAAAGACGAAGAGAAAAAAGATGGCGAAGAAAATGATGTGCGAAGAAGAGAAATGTATGTGGTTGGGCGTGGCAATAATAGTGTGCACGTGTAACTGCAGTCAGCATTATTCCAAAAATAATAATTACATTCTTTCATATTTAGTAACAAAAAAACACCCGAAAAATAACTTTAAAAACATATTTTATTTTAAATGTTTTGGTTCTTTTGTTTTGCTGTTGTTATTCTAAGCTACTAAAAATAATGTAACCTCATCAGTTGAAAATATAAAAAAAAATATTACAAACATAACTAAAAGATCATGTTTAAAGTTAGGCATATGTGCATAAGAAATTAAAAATAAACTGATACTTTGATTTTAAACCATTCCAGATGCACTCAGCTGATTAATATTTACATTTACAAGTAATGTTTTGAAAATGAAAAGTAATAAAAAAATTGAGAGAAATCATTGAGTAGTCAAAGAAGTTATTTCTCTCCATGGGATCAGCGAGAATTGAAAATCACGCATCAAAAATTTATTTGTGACCAATTATTGGAGATTGAAGAAAAGGGTTGAGCATTGTACAGAATACAGATACATTGGCTGGTAATTTAAAATTTAAAGCATTATTCGATTGATTAGTGAATAGGAGGCTAGTATATAGTTATTCGATTGATTAGTGAATAGGAGGCTAGTATACTAGTATATAGTATGTGAAGATTTGATTGCGTACTGAATTTTATGATTAATTACAGTAATTCCATGTGTAAAACTAATACTTTGAAAAGTAAAATAATAAGGTTATAAGGTATTTCTCCCGTCTTCGTAGCGAGTCTTTGTGGTGTAGTGGTCAGCCCACTCAGCGCGTAATTGAGAGGTCCGCGGTTCTGTTCCCGGCGAAGTCGTTGCTAGATTTTCATCTTGCCTGCTTCCAAAAAAATACCTAATGTCTCTACAAGGTAATGAGTTTAAAAACATAAAACCTTTGATACGTACCCAGAGATAATAATCTGATATTAACACGCCGCGAATAAGTTACCAAGCAAACAAAAATTATCATACTTGAGTGGAATAATCAGGAATTTATTTTAAAACACGTATAAAATGTGAAATTTTTAAACAGAAAAAAATGACGAAGGAATGGATGTAATAGTGTATGCATTTTAAAATGCAACACATAGATTGCTGCTGTTTTCTGGTTAGACGGCAATATCAAAGCTGTGATGTAAACAGGTATTGAATAAAAATAATGCCATTATTTATTAAGCATTAATGAACTGTTACGTGCATATGAGTTTATAATAGATTGAACACATACAATACCAATAATAGCTTGATAAAATTTATTTTCCGAAAAGAAACACTTTACAGTTGTGGAACTATCCATGAAAGTGCTAGTACATTTCTTCTCAGTATGACAGAACACAAACAATAGTTGCCACTTCAAACTACTAAGAAAGTTAAACACAATGCAAAGCACAACACAATGCAAAGCACATCTAAAGAGCAAAGCTCGCACATAGATCTCTCAATACTGAACTAAAAGCTGAGAACTGATGCTCTTTCCTGTTTTATATAGCTTTCCGCTGGTCGCTTAGAAATCTCTAGTACCTTCCATTTTTCGAAATTACTGGGTAGCTTATAATAAGGTAATGAAAACAACTTCGTATAGTTAACGATAACAACAAACTTCTTAACGTTTACACTAAGAGCCGGATACAGATAAATATAGGAATAAATTAGAGTTATTCAATTACAGTGCCAATTACAGTTACGCAGGAACCGGACCAAAATATTACAAAGTCTCGCCAAATTTGGTGACAAAAATTAGTCGTCAAAAGTATCACAAACTTGGCGACAAAAATTAGTCACTAAAATTTGGCCAATTTAGTGAGGTAGCGCATTTAGCTCAATGTTAAATAGACTTGCCCTGTAATCTTATCTTTGCGTGAAAGCTTCGCTGTCTTCATGCTATCTGTGGTATACTATACAAAAGATACTACAGTTTCACGTGTAATTTCACTAAAATTATTAACATATATACAAAACTCGAAAGGAATGTATTACTGTTCCATTTTGAGACGCATCATATTTCGCGATACATTCAGACTAACGCATAATTATAACAAACAGCAGGATACTGAGAAAACTTTCTCATTTATTACTCCTTGGTATAGCTGAAATGATTTAAACGTTTTAAAGTAAAGACCCAACCTGAAATCATTTTGCTCATTTATAGGCAAGATTTCGTAAAATACGCGCTCGTTATAACTGTCATAATGAGAAATCGGGTTCTTGAAGTACCTGTTAATAAGAAATGTCATAAGTGAAATATACATCGAGAAAAATAAGTGTATATTTACACATCTGATTCAGATCTTATATTTTACTGCAACATAAACATAAGGAAACAAATAAGTACATATATATAATAGAATGAGAAAGAAAGATTAAACGAATTCTGTAAAATATTTTATGAATTAAAAAAAAAGTAATAATAATAAAAAAATAAAAAAAATTTAGCTAGAAAAAACTACTTACAGCATTTCAGTTTTCATTTTTACTGAACCAGTCGGTAGGTTGTTAATCTTGTTACTATCTAAGTCGCTGAAATGAAAACAACAATATATAAATAACCTAATGAATTTAACCAAAAATAACGCACTAATTCTTCAAATAATGACAAGTCTAGTTAAACATTGCAAACAAAACCTTTTCATTATGAAAAGACCATTACCTCATTTTGATTCGCTTTAAATTAAATTTGCATAAAAATACCTGTAGCGTGGTTTGGATGCTTCTAACTATGATCACGTTACAGGAGAATTCTTTCATTATCATACTCAGCACTATCCTAACTTTATATGTTTCATATTTGCAGATGTTACGTGTATCTCTTAATAACAAACTTGAAGCAAATTTTAATATTGTATATGAGAAGAATTAGTATAAAAACTAGTCTCATGCAAAAATTAACTAACATATCATAACCTTTTTTAAAAGCGGTTTTACACTGTAATAAAAGCATAGAAATATCTTGTTGGTAAACAGAACAGCAGGAAAAAATATAAGAAAACGAAATTCCAGGGCTGAAAATTCTATTGGAGGAAGATTTTTGAATTGAAACTAGATTTGGGGAACAAAGGCGCTTCTACATATCATAAGCTCTAAAACTATTGGTTGAAAGTTTTCATAATATATGTGTGGTAACTGTTTAGAAGTTATACACGTGTGGGAAGCTGTTCAAAATGTTTAGAGTCAGCCTGATAGTAGAGGCTCTTGGTGGATTTTTTCTAGATCATATTCACAAATTCAAAACCTTGTCTCTTCCAGCTTAATCTTCGTTTAAGAAAAGAACAGAAAAACACAGGGAGTTAATTTTTACATGTAAGGATGATGAAAGATAATTGGCATATAATTAGACGCAAAGAACTGCTATTCGGATAATACTATAAAAACAATCATATCGCCTTGAAGGAGGATCCATTTGCTTCGTGTACCACTTATCCGGGTAATTTTTCTACGCGTTCTTCTTCATCCACCATGAAACTTTATAACAGATTTTAGCATTTACAGTTTGAGTAACTGTAACACATTCCTTAAATGCTTTGAACTTCAGATACTGAGACTGGTGAAACATTGTGGGAAAATGCACAAAAATCACCTATAAAAGTTGTTGCACCTATAAAAGCTACAGTCCAGTTTATAGAAATCGTTATATTATGGAATGTTCCAAGCTCAATGATTCAAAATTCATAGACATGATTATTTTACTCAAAGCACATGCAATAACTATGTGAATTGTGAGCCAAAATTTCAAATATCAAATTTCTAGGCATTTTAGGTGTTCGAAATATTTTGATTTCAAACCAAATTATATGGTATGCAACATAATTTTTTATCGTCAATAGAATATAAAACTCTGCTTGGTTAAAAGCACTACAAACGTTTTCCCAAATGGAAATTATTTTTACTGAGGTATGCAATATATAGAGTTTTTTTATTAAATACACAAACAGTGCAAACATTTATAAAATGAAATGAGTAGTGTTTCGAAATATCAATTAAATTGATTATAATTTCTCCCTCCTTTCTACATGTCTTCGTGGTGTAAACGTAGCACACTCGGCTCGTATTCAAGAGGTAGAGGTTCGAGTCCCGGCGAGGGCATTGCTCATTTTTCGTGTTTCTTATTTCAAAAATCCTAATCACTCGACATCCTGGTAACTCAATAAAAATCCTAATAACTCGATAAACAAATATATCGCTTAGATATACGATTTAAAATATGAAAAATAAAAAATGCAACAAGTATGCATTTTCCCCCCAAATTCTTACGTTTATTAAGCAATGTAATAAGTCTTAACTTGAAAGTTAACTAATTATTTTATGCCGCTTCCAATGGCAGCATCTATTGGAAGTGGGAATTTACTGAACCTATTAATTCATAATATGTGCTTTGCGGGCTTAATGTTTTGTGGAATGTTAGCACTTATGACTGATATTTTATCAGGCTGCATGGATAGTAAATGATCGAATAATGTTAAATACTCTAATTCGAACAAATGAAAAGACTAAGTTATAAATGTTTCTAACGTTAATATTAATTATAACTATCACATATTAATTGACTTTCCTTTAGCTTCAAATAGCTCTCGTTGTGCTTCAGTACACAAATAAAATTTATCATGTGCATCCTTACTTAAATGCAATATTTACTGCATAATTGCGATCATGTATTATGTAAAAATACAAAATTACAAAACTGGTATTTTAATGTAATTCATATAATACAAACACACGAATTATACAATCCATACAAACTTATAGATTGCATTATGATGTAGCAAAATTTTTATGAAGTGAAAAAGATTGAATATTTCCCGTAGATTGTTATACTCAAGGTTCAGCCTTTTGAGATGCATGAAGATATGAGATATGTATGCCACCTGAAGTGCAGACTCGGTTTTAAGTTTCACTTTGATACTTGCGCTAATTTCGATGTTGAAAATGCATGGTAAAAGAAGAAATAAGTAATGAAATCTAACAAAAAAAAAAAAAAAAAAAAAAGGTAAAAGAAGTAATGAAATCTAACAAAATTGCAAGTTTAGGAAAAGAGCAAATAAAGACAAATGTTTTCATATTATTTCAGCATTCAGGTAAGTTTTGACGATTTAAGATAATTAAGTATTAAAAGAATTTACAGGGATTAATAAAAATAATCCGCCTTTAGAAGCAATTTTTTTCTCGTACTATACGTATTTTATACGTAATTTAGGAAACTTAAATACTTACACCATATAAATGATACTTTTGGTTTCAACATGTTCAAGGCTTGGAACAGCTTCTAATCCGGATTGAATGATTCTTCTGTAAAGGAATGAATGATATGAAATAATCATATATAGTTTGTTGTATTGCAAATTAAAGCATTTTAAGAATTTCATCCTTTTATGGGTAAAATTAAATTAAAAGCAAATTTCATAATGTTATCTTAACAGAAGGACCACAAAAAGCAAATTCTTAAGTAAGGCGTAAAATTTTCTTTTTTGTAGAGTGTAAGGATCTTAAGTTTTACTAACGTTTATTTTATTTTAAATCTTTACTATCACTTCTTATTTTCTACTTCGGCCAGAATTATAAGCGTGAAGGAGTTTATGCAAAGTTGTCTGGCGAACGCCAAGTATTTAAGTGTGGCCTTTTTGCCAAGCAGAGAGAGGAAGCCGTGAGTTCGAAGCAGGCCGCTTACCTTAGAAGTTACGCAGTTGCTGCTTTGCCTTCCAGGCCAGAGGTTTTAATCCTCTTGATAAATTAAACGTATTGTAGTGTTCACAGTCTCTGTGCTACATACGCTTTCTGTTATTATAAGGCCAATCTTATTCTAAAGTTAAATTAGAGTTTAGTTTTATTTTGATATCTTTTAAGTTAGACCCCGAGTGGAGGGTCATTGTATTCCGAAGTACGGAAGTCATTGTATATAAAGAAAAAAATAAAGGGTTTTGTATACCCTTCGTCTGTATCCTGTCTACTTACTACAATTAGTGAACATAGCTTTAGTAAGCTCTCTGTTCTAGTCAGGTCATTGTATGTTTCCGAAGAAAGGTTTAGAAGAAACATTGAACCTGATAGTGGCGCCCGACGAAGAATAACACATGGCCGAGTTTTCAAGAAGAACCTGTGCTGCCTGCAGAAACAGCTCAGAATCCAGAAATGCCAGCTGCCGCCCTGGAAGGATTTGGGTATATTGTCCAGACCATGCGCGCTTCGATGAAACCAGAAGCAACGTTTTAATGGAAACTCACAGGTAACCAGTTTTTTGGAAAAATTGGATGACCACTTTCATGCTCTACCCCGTGCACGAGTTTCAAAAAGTTACCTTAGCTACCAGCGCTTTGAGGGCCCAAGCGCTTAACTACTGGTTCAAATGTATCGGCAGAAGTCTCTTGGGGTCAAGCAGGAAGTCCCACCTATACCTACGAAAATTTCAGACTGCCCTACTAAAGCCTTCCCTGTTGTAAGGGATCGTGCGAAATTAGAAACAGAACTTTTCAGTATATATCAACAAAGAATGGAAAAAACTCGAGTTTTATTTTAAGAAAAATTCACGTTTTCAAGCTCTTGTAATGGAAACCGTCCGGATCCTGAAATAATTCAGTGATTTTGCCGAGGTTTACTACCCCAATTGCAAGACTTTATTGAATTGAGAAATCCGACTACACTGGAAAAATTATTTGAGCTAGCAATCCAGTTTGGAAAGTAGAAGAACGGGCGGACGTCGAAAGAAGACGCCAATATCAACAGCGAAAACCAATTTGGTACGCCAAGACTACAGCAAACTCAAGCACATGGCTACGGAGAAAAAGCGAATCAGTGGGCAAGGAAACCCGAGCATTCAAAAACAGCCGGCGAACGTCGACAGTTCAATAGCAACCCAGAAAAAAGTCTCAAGGCCAGTGGAGAAAGAAGGAAAGCACCGAAAGGAAAAATAATTTAAACTAAAACGGATTTCTGCTGAACGAGAGGGTGCGGAAATCCGAAGGCCACGAAAACCCCTCTTCCTACAGTTAAATACAGTAATGGTGAAAAATTTAACTCTTCCGAAGATTGAAGTCTTGGTAAATAATATCCCGGCCACCGCACTCCTGGATACCGGCGCGCATGTTTCCTGTGTGGCAGAAGTCTTTTTTAGAAAGTATTTTCGCAAATACCGCATATATAATGCGGATAATACAACAGTATTAGCGGCGCAAGGAGAACAATGTAAGTGCGTAGGTAAAGTACCTTTGTACTCCGTATCAAGGACGAACAAGTAAGGTGATGTTTTTTTATAGTAAAGATTTGCAAGCACACTTAATACTAGGAATAGACTTTCTTTCAGACGCACAAGCTACACTGGATTTTAATGAAGCGTCCTTAAGCTGACGATGAAACCAGTGCGTGTAGAAAAGGTTGAACCGCCAAGGTTAAATCTCGACCACCTGCCTAATGACGAGCAGATAGAATCCGACAAGTGGTAAGTGAATTTGCTTCCTCTTCCTTATTTAGTGATTTCCATGATTTACCCAGGTTACTAACCATAGTATTGACACCGGAGATGCATTGCCGTTTCGTCAAAACCCCATACCGGTATGATAAGAATAAGGAAAAAAGTTATAGAATGGCATATTACCGATATGCTACGTAAAAAGATCGTAACGCCTATCTCAAGTAGTTTGCTAGCCGGTGGTTTTTATGTAAGAAAATAATGATTATCCTTTGGAGCATCCAAAAAGGTGGAGATTCGCTATTGATTACCGTAAATTAAATTCCATAACGAAATATCCGGTATTCCGTTACCGATTATAGAAGAAATTTTAAGGAACATAAAATCAACCAAATTTATGACACTTTAGACTTAACGAATGGTTATTTTCAAATAGGATCAGGCCTGAGGACGTGCCTAAGACTGCTTTTATAACCAAGTCTGGCACTTATGCATTTTTGCGAATGCCGTTTGGCCTTTCAGGCGCCCCAGCAACATTTCATTCAGCGATGCATGGACATTGTGTTAAGACCTGTTCTCGGAAAGTCCACATTTATCTATTTAGACGATATCATTATTACTAGTGAATAATCTAGACCAACATGTACAGGATTTAAGACAGGTGTTTTCTTTATTAAATGAGGCCGGTCTAAAAGTTAATGTCGAAAAATGCAAATTTGCAGCCCCCTGATTAAATATTTAGGTTACAAAATATCGCAAAAAGGGATCGAGACAGATGAATCAAAAATAATCGCTGTACAAAAGTATCCGACTCCAAACACGGCAAAGAAGCTCTCTTCTTTTCTAGGACTTTGTTCATATTATAGGTCCTTTATAAAAGATTTTGCGGCTATCGCTGAGCCATTGTTAAAATTAAAAAGGAAAAAGGCAAGATTCTCGTGGACGGCCGAAGCCAATAGTGCTTTCGAAAAATTAAAACAAGCATTAACGCAAGCCCCTGTGTTGAAATTTCCTGAAAAGGATGAAAATTTAGAAATTTCAGCGGATGCTTCGGATTATGCGGTAGGAGCGGACTTTTCGCAAAATCAGCAGCCAGTACCATTTTTTAGCCGAACTTTAAATCAAACACAAAGAAACTATTCCGCGACCGAGAGAGAGGCACTTGCAGTTCTGTTAGCAAGTGCAAAAGTTCCGAGTCTATTTTGGAAAGGCGCCGATAACAGTATATTCTGATCATGCGGCGGTAACTAGATTGTACTCTGGAAAAATTTATCCCCAAGGTTAATAAGATGGCACTCAAGCTGCAAGAATATAATCTGGTAATCAAGCATACCCCCGGAAAGGAAAATATCGTAGCATATGCCCTGTCACGAATTAAATTAGACGAACAGGGTAATACCGTAAAAGTTGCAATGCTGACAGCGTGTACAATAAATTCCCGAGAAACTGTAATAACCGAACTGGGTAGGATCCTGAGTTTGGAAGTATTTATAAGTATTTGAAGGATCCTGAAAATTTTAGCCACCAAGATATTGTGGCGATAAGAAATAGGGCGGCCCATTACGAACTAATAGATGGTCTATTATTTTATACAAAAACTACGATTCGAATTCCAACAACGAATTTCGACCTGTTATCCCAGCTAGTCTTAGATTAAATATCCTGCAAGAGCTCCATGACAGCCCTTTAGCTTCTCATGCTGGTATTCGAAAAACTACTCAACGCGTACGCGAGGCAGTCTACTTTCCTGAACTGCAAAAGTTAACAAGGGCGTATGTCCAGTCCCCTGCCCAACAGTCAAGCCGTTATTTAATTAATTTATTAATTTCCGCCCGGCCGGTTTTCTAAATAGTATTAAATCCGAATTTCCAAATGAAATAATCGGCATCGATTTATTGGGCCCTTTCCCAAAAAGTCAGTTAAAACAAAGTCGCTATCTCCTTGTTATAGTTGATCATTTTAGTAAATGGAACCGAAATTGTTCCCTTCCTTAAAACGAGCCTCCGCGAAATTAGTTACCGATTCTATTTTAAATAAAATATATTTTAAAATACGGGGCGCCCCTAAAAGTTATATCGGATAATGGTCCTCAATTTGTAAGTAATATATTTGAAGACATGTGCCAAAAACTGGGCATACGTCATTTAAAAATGGTCCCGTATCGGCCGCAATCAAATATAGCGGAACGGGTCAACAGAAATATAGTGAAAATTATCCGTAGTTTATGTTAAAAATTTTCATAAAAGCTGGGATAAACTATGTCAATGAATTTGCTTTCGCCCTTAGGACCGCAAACATGATACAACGGGCAAAACTCCTGCTGAGTTATTTCTAGGCAGAAAGGTTATAACACCACCGTTAGATAAACTATTTTATGTTCAACAAAGAGCCCCAGAATTTCAAAAAAAATGGGCTGATATAGAAAAACTTAATTAAAGAAGCAAAGAAGAACACAGGAAGTAGCACAAAGAAAACAAAAGCTGTATTATGACATGAATGTATTACGACGGGGAGTAAATTATAAAGTATGGGGATGAATTGTTACTAAAATTAAGCATTCACTTTCTTCAGCACCAGAATATAAAACTGCCAACTTCTATTTCCACGATTTGAAGGACCATATTGTTATAGAAAAGTTAACTCAGGCTGTTGTAGGTGCTTAAAAGGCCAAGAATGGTGAAACCTGTTCCCGCAAACATTGACCAGATAAAACCATTCTATGAATCGTAATAAAATGCAAATCTTTTCAGATCTTTTGCAGGATCCGGTACGGCAGACACCGCAGGTACAAGTTCCAGAGGTGGAAAACGACAAGTACAAGGGCAAGCCAATGAGAGACAGAAGCAAGTGAAAAGAAAATTGCCCCCGGAAAATTGAAGGTACAAAG